CTTAAAAAATTCCCTGGCAAGAGAAGCAACTGGCATTGGTTATTACAATCGATTTCACGAAACTTTGACCACGAAACTTCGTTGCGAAGTTCACAAGATTGTTGTGAAGTTCAAAAGTTCATAATGAGATTCACAAACCAGTTCGTAAACTACGCATTTGATTGTCTTCTTTTACTTCACGGACCAATCAGGGACTTTGTTTACAAATTGGCTTGTGAATTCCAATATGAGCTTCCGAACTTCGCAACGAACTTGCGAACTTCGCAGCGAAGTTCGGAACATTTGTGGTCAAAGTTTCGTGAAATCGACTGTAATATGTCTGTTGTGTCTGTGATGCCGAGTTTGAAATTGCAACTGAACTTGAATATCATATGAGAATCAGGGTGTTAGCCAGGATTTCAAAAGTGGCCGTCCAAAATAATTTTGTTGGCCTGGTCACATGTTTTTGGGCGTGGCCGCAATTTGTTGTTGTTGTGGAATTGTGGTGTTCTATTCGTTGAACTACTTGTTGTTTACTTTTAGTTTTAGATGCACATTTCAGTTATTAAATTAGTAAAAGCACACATATGGTATGAACCGTATGATCACTACGATATACTGGCTACAGTATATGCTATAATGAAGAACACAATACAGCAGTGTAGTATTTAGTTATTTTTTTATCAATCGCCTTTTTTGATGCGTTTGGCTCATTTTATAGCCATCTTTACCGTAACTGTAACTTTAAAGCAGTGTGGTGCTCGAGCGATAAAGCGATTGCTGTTTTTTAAAACGGCGGTTTCAAATTATTCTCCTTGATACTTCATGCGAGACTCATCATGGTTACAAAAACATGGCACGTTTGTCGGTACTTCTATTCAGGCATATTCAATGTGTTTTCGAGGGGGGAAAGTATGAAAACATATAACATAAGTAAAGTAAACAGCAGATGATAACAATTCGAAGTATTCAAGAGATATTACAAAGCTTGTAAATTGCTATTTAAAGAAAATATTCCCTTAGGCCGTCCATCGCCGTCCATTAAAATTTAGCCGTCCAAATTCAGAAGTGGCCGTCCATAGGACGGTCGGACGGCCGCCTAGCTAACACCCTGATGAGAATGCATAACAATGTGCTGCCCCAAGAGCAAGACGAGATACATTGAAACTATTTTGGGTTTTATTAGGCTGTTGCGATATGAAAAAATCAATATATTGATATCAAACAAAAATATCGACTATATCGAATTATGAAATCAGAAAACATAGTCAGTCAGCCTGCATGTATACCACGTCACACCACTGGGTGGAGCCTGGGTACGAGGTTGCACAGGGTGGATGGATTATAAATAATCTATCATAATAATAACCCATGGTATTTCATGTGACCGAAAATTTGTATTATTATATTGTGCAGTTAGTTTTGAAAATAAAAAAGTATTTGTTGCCAATGCCAGGGGTCTCCTGTGGGGGTTCATGGGCCACTGGGGTACACACCCCACCTAGTGCTGCCTTGCGCCCTCGTTGTCCATGCATTTTCTGGTTTTCGACCAGGGCCTTTTTTAAGGATTTTCCCGTGGGGGGGGGGGCATTTTTTGAAAAGGGACCTTTCTGTGAGATAATATTTTAGAGGGGGATAGCAATGGCTGAAAGCCACGTGTGTGGCAAATATACCACGCATGAATGGGGGGGGGGTCTGGGGGTGTACTCCCCCAGAACATTTTTGAAATTTGACTCCCGGAAATGTCATTTCCTGCATTCTGAGCATCCAAATTTGCTCTAAAATCTATGCTAACTATAGTTGTATTTGAAATAAAAGATGGAAAAATGCACAAAATTAAAAGTAAAAAAGAATATTAACTGTAATTTATCATTACTTATTAGAGGGATAATCCCAAGAAAATTTTTGAAATTTGAAACCGTGAAATGCTATTTCCTGCATTCTGAGCATCCAAAAAATAAAAAAAATATTAACAATAATTTATCATTACTTAGTGGTAAAAAAAGTAACACTTTAAATCGATTTTGTTAAACAAGAACAAAGGATAAAGCCTAAAACTTACTTTCCGTTTATCTATTTGTTAATCTTCGCTGGATTGTTTATATAATTTTAGGAAAAAGGGACTTTTCCTGGGGGGGGGGCAAAATGTGATTTCGTGGAGGGGGCACAAGGGGGGACTGGGGGGCAAATGCCCCCCAGCTTGTATGTTAAAGAAAGGCCCTGTTTTCGACTAGCGATTAGAGGAACTTCTACTGTTAGCGAGTGTTGATTTCTTGAATATATAAGAGTTTATATCATAATAACATGAAACACTGATAGGTTTGGCAAAACAAATCGCTGCGAGAAAGATCAGTATCAGTTTCCTCTATTCAAAAGAATCCGTCCTGTACCATGAGGGTGGGTTAATTTATTTTTTCGTTTATGTTTTTGCTTTTTTTACAGAGTGTACAATTACACGGCATGGTAGAAAACCCGGGTAGCGAATAACCGGATAACCGGATAACCGGATAACCGGATAATCGGATAACCGGATAACCGGATAACCGAATAGTGTATAGAGATTTTTTCATGGGAAATACTTACGTGTGGTATTTACGCACGCGTTATAATCTGTTTTCCGCAAATTAAACGAACGAGCGAGTGCAAAATTTGTTCTTCATAGACGATACAGAGTTTATTTATATTACACAGCGAAAAATATAAAGGTTTATATGTTTCATAAAGCGAGACAATCAGATAAACAAAGTCGTGTCGTACAAAAATACATCGGAAAATACAAATTTTTCAGTATTAATGAACAGGAAAGGAAATATCAATTTATTATTATTATTTACAAATATTTTAAAACGGTAGCTCTTCAGAACACCTATGATCCGTTTTTCAAGAGGCCGTTTAAACTAATATTTACAAAGTTTAATAAAAAGTACATCTAAAATATAATATAATATAAATTATCACACAGTTAAAGTCTAAGAGAATATATACAAAATATTGTGTCCCATCGTCATTTCTTTTGAATCTCATTTGGCAAATTATTCCAGCATTTTGCCCCTGAGTAGCTAATACTTTTTTTGAGGAAATTAGTCTTAGGTTTATCCAGTTGAAAATTAATTCCGTTATTTCTAAGGTCATTTTTCATTATTAGTAGGCCTTTCCCGATTGCGCTGAGCACTTTTTGAGCACTTTTTTTTGTTTGGAGCACCATTTTGCATGTTGAGCAACGTTGAGCACTTTTTCGCACTTTGGGCAACATTTGAGCAATATTTCACATTTCGAGCGAATTTTGAGCAACAAAAAGTCAGCGATTATAGAATTCGATTCGTACCTCGATTAACTAAACATACAGTTCGGAGTAAGGTTTAAAAATTGACGGGTATTATACTATTATTTTATATATAATTTAGGTATAACTCCAAAAGAAAAGCCGTACAGCTGCATATGACATTACAGTTAAAAAATTAGAACGCTGACTTTTTCGAGTTCTCTTTTTTTTGTCGTAAACAACTCCATATACGGAAGTTTGTTCCATATATGGAGAAAGACGTGGAAACAGATTTTAAAAAATGCTGATTTTAAAAAATTTACGAAAATCTTAGAGGTAACTGTTCACAATTTTAGCACTTTTTGAGCACTATTTTGAGATTTTGAGCCGACTTTTTGAGCACTTTTTAGCCATTTTGCCAGCACTTTTTTAGGATTTTACCAGCGCATTAAAGTAAAATTCAAAATATTAAAGTAACAACAGTTGATTGGCTTCCTTGTTTTTACCGACTTAGCTACTCTTGAAGTGCAAAGGATAATTTTCAATTCCCGTTAGAAGTTGGTATTTTTAATAGCATCACTTTAATACAGACAGTTCTTTAATATTGATCCTTTCTCACACGAAATATTTTATAAAAAACCTGGTAAAAAAGCTTTTATAGCGCGTGATAATATAAACCTTTCACTCAATTAAAATGACAAAAATACAAACAAGTTAGAGTTATAGACCATGCATGTATTATAAAGTTGGTATATATAAATGATGTTTCAACGCATGCATGTGTGTCTATTCGTTCATGTTTAAACTGTAAATTAAACTGACACTCAGTGAGGGAATTTTAGTACGAGTAAAAATCCTACGACTCTATCCGCGTTTTCGCTCGAGTTTTCGCTTGCTCTGAGATTCAATATTGTTGGCCGTCTATAATATGGCATAGCATACCGAGCATACTAGCCTACATATAAGAAGGTCGCACACGACGACGCGGTCATAGGCGTACCGGGCAGGGGGGGCGGTAGCCCCCCCAGCTTTTGGGCAGTCGGGCAATATTCGATCAACAGTCGGGCAATTTTGGCTTGCAATAAAAAAAATGGGACAAATTCTGTCAATTTTGTCTAAAATTAAGTCAATTTTGTCTAAAATTAAGTCAATTTTTTGGCAAATTTTGCGATTTTTCGAAAATTTGTGTTATGTTGCGAAAAAAATTGGTTGTCCGGAAAATTTTTTTGACGCCTAAAATGGTACACTGACCGAAATTTTTTTGGCGACGGGGGGAGGGGGGGAGGAGGTCGCCAAAATAATTTTTCCGGAAAAATTTTTTTGATACTAGTCGGGCAGAAATCGAAAAGTCGGGCAATTTTCTTTCCGCCCCCCTAATTTTTTCTTTCCGGTACGCCCATGGACGCGGTACTAGGCTATATGTCCTGACTCCTATATATATCATTATGGAGGTACTGACACAGTATAGGCTATAGCACGAAAGATTGCATACACTACAAATCATTCTCTTTTAGGCGGATGCGCCAGTTTTATATTTATAAACAACAAGTTGATCTTCTGCTGACATGTTTGTATTGAATCAAAAGGTTTTTTATAAAATATTTCGTGTGAGAAAGGATCAATATTAAAGAACTGTCTGTATTAAAGTGATGCTATTAAAAATACCAACTTCTAACGAGAATTGAAAATTATCCTTTGCACTTCAAGAGTAGCTAAGTCGGTAAAAACAAGGAAGCCAATCAACTGTTGTTACTTTAATATTCTGAATTTTACTTTAATGCGCTGGTAAAATCCTAAAAAAGTGCTGGCAAAAATGGCTAAAAAGTGCTCAAAAAGTCGGCTCAAAATCTCAAAATAGTGCTCAAAAAGTGCTAAAATTGTGAACA